GGGGGGGGGGGGGATTTTAAATAATTCTGAATACTATAAGAAGTTAATGTTTAACACTTTTACTCGCGATGTGCTTGTCTTTCAACATATATTTTAACTCAAAGCTACTCTATAAAAGTTGAAGTTTACAAACATCCAGACGTCTCCCTAAAACGAATTTCTTCATATACTCTCATTAACCATGATAAAATACAGAGAAAGACTTGCTACATTCACATTTCATGATTTCACACAAAAAATGTGTTAAAAGAGCCCAAGGAGTGGGGGCCTAATTTTGCGTGAGTGGGGGCCGGGGACAACAGGAGGGCCTGCGGCCAAACGGCCCCCAGTATATATGTTAAAATAAGCCTTGAGAAACGGTGTTCCACTGTCGGCGCTTGAATAATAGCCGAGCACCGATCAATGATCGGCAGGAAAATGTTTATGATCGGCGGAAAAACAGGGTTTTCAGTGAGAAAAAGTCAGGGACTGCCGATCAGCATGATTTGGCGTAATTTTACAAATAAAGGGCTGTTCATATCGAGCCGGGCTGGCCCAGTTAACCAGGTCGTTTAATAATTAAAGCTCTTATCACAGTTTTGAAAAACATCCAAAATGAAATTTAAAAGTTGAATTAGCTTACAGTAGTTTGATTCCAGTAACAGTATAAAGTTGATTCGAACCATCTTTTAAGATCAGGGAAACGACATTCCAGCCCTTAACTAGAGGGCGTAAATTTCATTGAAAACTTTCATTGCTTACCCTGTAAGATTCGGACAATATTTCATCTCGTAAAGACCTGTTTGATCCAACGCGCACGAAAATATATCGATCACGTGACCGTTCTCTGCCGCTCTATTGGCAAGTGTTTCATAATGCTACAATGAAGAGAAGAACTACTTCAGGTTACTGTAGGTTTTAATATGAATGTATAAAAATTTGTATTCGAACTTTCGATCCAGAAAAGACTTCAACATGTATAGTTAAATAGAGTGAGATGCCCACAATAATCCTGTATGAGAGTTGGCAGTCACCCGACCTGTGTTAGCAATATATCAGGGCTTTCAAAATAAGCCGGCGGCCGGCGGAGCTGCGGTGGGTGCCACGAGGTTTACCGCCGGTTACTTTGTTTAGTACTTGAAATATCAATTCTGCTCTCCGTCCTCCACTTTAAACTTTCAAGTTATTTTTCATCAACCTGGTCTACTTTATTGCCTGGTTACTTTCGAAAACGACGTACTTTTTCTTAAAACCGATTTAGTTATTGCCATCTTAAATCTTGAAGTCATCTTGTTGAAGAATGAAAGTAGTGATACATTATAATTTGGTTACAGAGCTCAGTTGTGTTGCTATCTAAGCAATATACACTAGTTAATTTGGATGACTTTAAGACTCCTTAGATGTACAGGGTGTCTCAAAAAAACCGCTAAAGAAATTCAACTTGCATGCTCAATTATGCAAAGTTAATTAATCCAAAAGCAACGCGAGCCTGCTGCAAGGTTTTTGTTTCGTAAAACGTTTGATTACTACGAGTGTTCTCTGTTCAGTGGTTAATTGAACCATGTTTAATGCAATAATGGACTTCTTGTTGTCTCACTAAGACGAAGATTGACGAGTTGAGCTCATTTTCAGATAACTTAACATTCAATTTTAATTGACTCTTGGGAATTTGTCTATGTTTCGTTTTCCGTGCAATTCCCAACGGTGGAAGAATGTGATTTCGACTGGCAATTTTTATTTGACGAGTATGTGGCCATTTCTCATCGTTACGATTTAAAAAGAGTATCAATGAAAAGCTAAATAACTGTTCTTTCGTCCTATGTAAAAATTGAATTGTTTAGTCACGTTTATGATGCACGACAGCCTGTTGAATTTCCATAACGTTTTTTTAGACAACCTGTAGACCGCCCCCTCCCAACAGCCGCCTACTTTATCGAAACAGACACCTACTCAGAATAATTCTGAAAGCCCTGAATATATTCTTACTGCTTTCCTAAAGGTGCTGTTGCACTATGCAATTTGTCTCGAAACTTGTCTCGCAATTTTGTTGCGACACAAGTTGCACGCGAAATTGGAAGGTGTATCAGGCCTCGCAATCAACAAGTCTCGCAATATTTTTGTTGCAACAACCACTGCACGAAGTAGAATGAGGTTCTACTTTTTGCAACGCTCATGTGTAACATTTTTGCATAGTGTCATATCCCTCTTTTCAACTTGTCTCGCAATGTTTATACACTGAATAGCTTCATATTGGCTTTTGACTGACAATATGGCGCCAAACTCGTCTCGATACTTTACTATCATAAATGATTTTACCTTACAAGCTTTCCTCACGTATGGTGCATTGTCTTTCTCCAAGTCATGATGAGATCTGATTGGATTCTTCAGCTCGTGGTCTATCACCATTCCAGGACCCTAAAAACCAATACTTCGTTAAAATATTGCCAGGCAGGGAAAAAAGTGGGATGTCCGAATCCTGTACAACATTTACCTTAGCAAGAACTAGGAATGTTCGGTATACCGATATACCGAAAATATCGGTATTGAAACCAAGATCGGTTTATCGGTATGAGTTCTTCAGTCATACTAATATGCCGAAATTTCCGAGATATTGGAATTTTTCGGTATAAATAATCGTATCAAAATTACACACCATGCATACGGCAAAATCGTCAATTTTTGTTTTACTCAAATGCAAACATTTCGTGTTAAAAACAATGTCAACAGCTTCGAAATTATCATAAATGGTGTTTCCACTTTTCAAATTATCCAAAATTAAAATTTCCTCCAAATTTCCACTAAGGAATTTTCCTATCTAATTTAAAAGGCGAAAAACCGGTATAGCGATAATATGGGTATAATTTTCCCGATATATACCCGATAGCAAGAACTTTGAGGAACATTTTCCCTCATATACGTTATGGGAGAACCTAGGGAATCATTATATCTAATCATACTTCCTTCATTTGAGAAATATACATGTAACATAGTTTACAGTAAATACAGTCAAGTATACTTTGTTGTTGCGTACATAATGACGTACGGTCAAATTTTGCATTGCTTTTACGCACTTTTGAGAAACATTTGAAAAAGGCAAATTTAGGACATATTGCCAGTTGCCACTGTGTTATTATGGAATGGAAACGAAATGTGAAATGGTATTGTGGAATGTGATGCAATGCTATACACTGTACTGTAAACCAATCTGGAGTATGTACTGTACTATAATGAACATTCTTACCTGAGTACAAGACCCCCCAATGAAAGTCATAATTCTGGCTCCAGTATTTGGGTACGTACACTGAAATTATAACACCAACAATATTATCATTTAATAAAATTATCCAGTTTTTAATAATGCAATTTAATGATTCAATAATAGACTCTCAATGGTCATCTACCCCAATAAGCGAACCTATTAAACAAGCATTTTTTATATAGTAACCGGCTTACGAATTCATGCGATTTCATTGGTCGAGAGTCATGATCTATCAGAGGACAGACGCACGGAATTACGTCACAAGTTTTTAAAATGTCGAAAATACTTGAAAATTCCACTGAAGTTATACAAATTGAATGAATTCATGCAATTAAATCTATAAACATCAATAAATACCTTCGATAAACGTGCAAAAACTACTCACAAAAGCTAGCAACTCGACAAATCTCAATTCAGTCATTCAGATGCGACTTCAAAATCCAATCCGGTCTTCGAAAACAAATACTATTCCGGTCATTTGACCCTGTCGATGTCAAAGCTGGTTTCTTCACATCGTGTAACATAGGTAATGTTTAAGTGCTTTTTAATTACCATAGTCGTTCAGAACAAAATAATTGCCTTTTTATCACACGTTTTTATTCCTATAAAACAATGTTTTTTCATTGTTTTGATAAATTTTTAGTTTTTCATTATTTATTACCGTCTAGCGCATTCTAAGCTTAGCCAATCAAAATTCAGCACGTGACTTAAGCGAGCCAATAGAATTTCGTTATTTGTATAGATCATGTATGCGTGATATTTGCAAAATTTCGACTTCCAAATGTTTGGGGGAATAAAAATAAACTGTTTAACTGTTTAATTCGGCAATTTTTTCAATTTTATTATATAAAACAAATAGATTACATTTTCCCGTTGTCTGTTCAGTTATATAGATACACAGTATGGACGTCATACAACGGGAAAACGTAATCTATTTGTTAATTAAAGAGTAAAACCGTTTAAATGTTTAAATGTCTTCTACTGTAAATAGTTTTTGCAGGTCTTTTATTGATGTAATTTATATTTGCCATACGCGAACTATAGAAAATTAAATATTTTTGAGATATAAAATAAAATAGCTGAATTAGTAAATTGTACAGAAAATATATTTTTGAGCCGCCAGAGTTTATTTTTGAGAATCCCCCATATCTAAATTTCAACACACACTTCGACAGACTGTTAACTATAAGGCCGCGTTTACACTATGACGCTACGGCAAATTTACCAGTAGCGTAGTAATTTGCATCCGGAGTGCCAAACGTGTAGTGCTCTGTATAGTTAATACGCTAGGCAAACCACACCGTTGTAGTGTAAACACAATACTAAGAAACGTAGTGACACGTGGATTTTTAACGAAATTGATTTGTATTCAGAGTGGCAAATGTAGGGTCCGTAGATAATACGCTACGGCAAACCACTCCGTTATAGTGTAAACACAATATAGTCTCAATACTAGAAACGCAGTAAATTTTTTTAATGGCTCGGAGTGTTAACCGTAGTGTAAACGCGGCCTAAGTTAATTTAAACTGATGTATTTATTCTACCTACCTCAAGCAGCCCAACAGCAATTGACATGGCAACACCAGTTGATCTTAATGGTCGGTTTCCAGTACTCACTGGCCATGGATCTCGCTGTAGTTCACCCAGCAAATCTGTCAGACTCATATCACATTTATGCACTGGTTGCAAAAATCTAGAAAATTAAGTGGAATAACAATGAGAGTTGAGCTTGTCCCTTTTGGAAGTTTTGATATGTTGTGTAAGTACACTGTATACTAGATAAAACATGAGCAGCCGATCTGTATCTGATATACAAACTCGATCAGGGTTCTCGACAGTTGTAAGCGGGACAGGTAAAACAGGTTTTTAAACAGGTATAAGCGTCATGTCGTACCTACAAATTTCTAGGGTGTCCGAGGCATACCACCGGAAAATTGTGAGTCTCTGAAATGGCATTTCCTGCATTTCGAAACTATTATAGAATACTAAAGATTTTTACAATGAACTTGTGGTCACAACTCGACAACTGGACTCTGTAGCTCAGTTGGTTAAGACCCATTTCCATTTTCAAGAAAAATTTTCACAGACAGTATTCTCTGAAAATATCATTGTTAAAAGTTGAAGATTTTTCCAACCAAATTTTACAATATTGTTCCTGCGCTGCACCGGAATCGCAGGGTCGCAAGTTCAATTCCTGCCAGAGGACGTACAGTTTCATTTCTCGCAGCTGTTCCTGCTCAGGTATAATAAATGTATATAAAATTTACACTCAATAATTTCCATCTATACCATACCCTTCAACTATTCAATCGAGTGCATGAGAATCTTTATATTCTAAACACACCGTCTACACGTGTTTATTAAGAAGAAGCCTTATTAAATAAATAAATATTTCTGGTTATTTAATTACTCAGTCCCCAGGCCCACGCTGCGTTAATTAGTCGCTGGGGCACTCTGTGCCTCCAGCGACTATAGGTTTCGGCTTCATCGCGGATTGTTGGTCACAAAATGACCTACGTCATTTTTTGTCAAACATTACGTCATTACTTTCAGTCGCTGGATTCAAGATGGCCGCTTACTTGGGAGCGTATTTGGAAATAATTTCATCGATTTTGTGCATATTTTCTTCATTTTTTCGATGAAACTTAATAGTTTTCCCATCAGCCAGACTTTATAAACCGAAATTCATCTTATATGAGTAAACTTGGAGGGCTGGAAGCCTGAAATATACGACAAAAGTTCACAATTTTCACAAAGTTGGAACTTCGTAAATTGCAACAATAATATTCGCAAGTTGCTGTTTATTTAGATGTAAATAGAATCTGCTTAATGGGAGAAGGGTTTAATAGAGCTTCTTGCCTTGCTGGCAAATGATATTTTAAAAGCTCTCAGGACAGCTGTTATCTCACAATAGGTATTGTACAATTCAAACACACAGAACATATTAATTTGTATAGTAGATAAATTTGGCAAAGTTAGTTACATTGTTGCTATGCAATTCACAACTTTAAATATTCATGCCTAGTTAGTGTTCTGCAATAGTTTACACATAGAATTGAACAGAAGTAACTAAGCATTTGATAAGCCTTATACACTTATTCATTCATTCATGTAGCTAGATAATTCTAAAGCTTAGTTATCTTTGTTCTACTCTATGCTTCAGTACAATAGAACAATGATACTTAGGCATGTGACTTATGTAAAGTTGTGAATTGGATATAACCAAACTTAGACAAATTTGTTTATCGTCTATAGTCCGGGGACTTGTTTGATGAACTTTGTTTTAATTTTCCTTGAATCCCATTTTTGACAAAAACAATTTATAGCAGTGAAGCAGTCTTAATCTCAATCACATGCAGCGTAATATGCAATAGCCCCAGCGACTAACGCTCAATAGAGCGTCTTGTTGTAATATAAATATCCCGCAAAAAATTGTCTTAATCGATCGGGTTTTATAGGACATTTCTGTATTCAATTTGAATCGATACTAACACATTATTAGTGTGGAATTTCAGCAATACCGGATTGATTATAGGATTTTTGCACAACTAATTATTTCTTAACAATGTACACAAGGCGGTAATCAGTTCTCCAGGTGGTAATCAGCAGTCGTGGAAATGGTAAATTTTACCGTTTACCACCTGATAAGTAAAACCCTGAAGATTGAGAAAATTGCTAAAGTAACTACAATATACATCTGATCACGTTGTTTATGTGTAGAAAAGGATGCATACAAACATGTACTGTACCAACCTGTTAAAAATATCATTGCCTTGTGATGGTATCTGCCCACGAGCACCAGCTTGAGCATTGGGTTGGCGAGCACCAGCACCTAACCCAAGCATTTGCTAAACAGATAAAATATGGTAAGAGAATAAACTACAAATGAACGAGCTTCTTCAAATCTGTTTCAAACATTTTTATCACTGAGGTTCTGTTAAGACCATGCATTACTTGAAATGCTACAAAGTTAATGTACTTCATGACCGCCCTCCCCAGCTTAAATGTTGTGAATAACACCCAAACAGCTTTTGGTAATTTAACATGACTCAAACTAAACATTTAGTTAGAAAAGTGGACTAATTTCGGGTTTTGTCCGGTAATTGAAATTAGAACACTTTTTTACTTAGTTTTGTAAAAATCTGTAACAAACTGATCTGGTGGAAAACAATACGACCTAAAATCCACCAATCAGTTTAGAGCAATCCTCAAGTAACAGCCACAGATTGCTTCAAAACAAAATAAATATGGCGGCCGCGCTATACATAAAGTACGAGTTGAGCTCGAGTGGAAAATATGGCATAACTTATACAGTTGAGTGAAATTTTAAAGCCGTTAGCGTTGTATAATTTGATATTACTGTAACAAAGGCAGGAAAACTTTGTCAATGGAAGATTCGCTATTAACGTAAGTTGGACATGGGTGGATTTACTGGGGAGGGGGGGTTAACCCACCCCCCCCTAGAATCTCTCTAATCCCTCTAATAAAGTGTCCAACCCCACCAAAATTTCGCTTCACCTCTCCTATTTTGTGTGAAAGGCTTTAAACCAAACGCCTACCGAAGCTCACCGAGTGGTACTGCTTGCAACCCACCAGAGATATTTCTACCCCTCCTTTTAAACAAATGAAAATCCGCCCTTGAAGTTGCAACCACAATTGTCTCGAACATTTTAATGTACAGTACATTAGTACTGTAATACGTATGTAATACGATGGTTTCTCGTGAAATTTGGATAAAACAAGCATCATATAAACAGGACCTAAGTTCCCTACCCTCTACCTACCACAGTAGCAGTTAACTATTCTCAGTGGTAAAGAGCAGCGCTATAACCACGCGTAGACACCTGCATATCGCAGAAATCCAATCCCAATCTAACCTGTATCTGTTTTGAGTTCAAGTCCTTGGTTCCTCGGAAAACATAACTCTTTGAGCAACCTTCACATCCCAATTCATGAACTTGAACCTGAAATACAATTATCATCAATTGAAAAATATAATCAGAGAAATTGATCAGTAAATTCTGAACACAGCTCTTATGTCAAAAACACTGATCACTAAATTTGTTTACGGAAACCAAGCATGAAACACGTAGATTTTAAAGTTCTATTCCAACTTTCTTTCTTTTCCTATTGAGGCATATTTCACACTTATTGACTAAATTCATAATTTATGAATTATAAATTAATTGTTCGTTTTATCATTGTTGTACCGTGCATGTATATTTGTACTTTTTAAACGGTTTAAACATTATATTTGCTGTGTTGGTGTAATGTACTCAGGTGAATAAGATGCTTGTGTGATGTTACTCTGAGTATATATCCACACCGGGCAGGCTTGAAAAATATGCCTGGCCACGGTGGGATTCGAACCTACGACCTTTGGAATACTAGCCCAATGCTCTGCCAACTGAGCTACGCGGTCTGGTCGTTTCGAGTAAGTGATATTTCGGAACTGAGTCTAGTTCCTTTGATATCAGTATTTAACAATTATTCGCCGAAGGCGAGGTGATTATCGGTGAATAAAAACCGAGACGAAGTCGAGGTTTTTATCCACGATATTCACCGAGCCTGAGGTGAATAATTGTTTTAGTATAATTTCATAGGTGATTATTTGGAAAAAAAATAAGAAAATACACATTTCTTTGACATTTAATTGACAAAAAGGCTTCGGCCGCCATTTTGAAAATCGCTTAGGTGATTATCGCGTAATAATCACCTCAACGGCAACCAATCAGCGTGGAGAATTTTCAATAATCACCTATGTAATTATACTAAAATCTAATAATCATGATATTTGCTGTGTTGGTGTAATGTACTCAGGTGAATAAGATGCTTGTGTGATGTTACTCTGAGTTAGGCTAGTATTCCAAAGGTCGTAGGTTCGAATCCCACCGTGGTCAGGCATATTTTTCAAGCCTGCCCGGTGTGGATATACACTCAGAGTAACATCACACAAGCATCTTATTCACCTGAGTACATTACAC